CGGCAGGTGAGGCCGCGCTGCCGGTTAGGACGGGGCCGCCTTGGGGCGGGTGGGCTTCGCCGTCCCCGTGCAAAGGCGGTCGAGGCGGAAAAAGGGGCCAGGCCGAAGCCCGAAGCCGTCTCCTTCCCCTTCCCCCGCCGCTGAGTCAGGCCTGGCAGCCTGGCGAGCAGCCCCGCGCCTTCGCTTCCACAGAAAGCGGGGTGTTTCGTAACCCGGCGCCGCAGCCTCGCCTCCTCGGGAGAGGAGCGGCCTGCGGCCCCGGCAGGGTTTTGCTGCAGGATCACCGGGGAAGGAGGAGGGCGGCTCGGGATGCGGCACGGCCTCGCTTGTACCGTAAGCGAGCCGATAAACCGCGCCCCGCTGCCGAGGCAGGGGTCACTGGAACGGCGCCCGAGAGGGCTGACTGGAGGGGAGTGGGTCAGGGGGCCGTCAAGCGGGAACACCGTAAACTGCCGGGTTTCCGGCCGCAGTCACGGAGAACGGGGGAGCAGCAGCCTCGGAAAGACGCCGAGGTTGAGCTGCAGAGGCTCCCGCAGGAGCCGGAGTCCCGCTCTGCTCCCGGGCTCCACCCGCAGACCGCCCGGCAGCAGCGCAGCCCGGGACAGAGTCCGCGGCGCGCCCCGGCCCCGGCCCGGCCGCTCTCGGCCGAGCGCGGTACGTCTGCAGTACCAGCTCTGGTGAGGGAAAAGTAGGTTCCGACCAATACTCCCGCCCGCTTCCGAGAGAAGCGCTGGAGACCTTGACCGGTGCTCACCGAAAAAAATCACAGTCGGGTGGCTGGAATGCCTGAGAGTGGATGGGGGAGACGACCTGAAACTTGTCAAAATTCCTAACAGATTTCATACCATTTCAAACCTCCAATAATCCCCACTGCGGCATGTTCAGTGGGGTGTTTGGCAGCTAAATGAGCTGAACACCTGCTTCTAGGCCTGAGCACGCTGCACCGCAGGAGGAAAAGGCCAGCAGGACTTTCCCCTCAGGTTGCCTCCTCAACACCAAAACAGCGCAAACAGACCCAAGGGTTCTCCACGGACAGCCAGGCAGCACAGAGACAAAGGGGTTTGGTTTGAATGCAGAGCAGTGAGGAATCGAGGCAGGAGTTAATCAGGAGGGTAGGAAAAGGGCAGAGAGAGGGATGGGGAGACCTGAGATTGACACAGATAAGCTGGAGTCAGAGGCAGAGTCCTGCTCCAAGTTATTCACTGCTCCGGCGTGATTAATTGCCTCCAAATACTCACAGTGTGGACCGCATCAATCAGGGAGGAAGAGTGACAGAAGAAAATGTGATCATGTAATTAAAGACTGTTATAATTAACATGCACAAAAAGAATAAACAGGCTGCATAGACTATCTTAAAAATAGTATTTCCTTGCTTCTCAGGGCATCCACTTGCAGCTTTAATGCCCTGCTATATTTTTTTTAGCTTTTTAATAAAGTAAACAAAATTAATGAAGTCCAGAAAGCCCTATCAGCCTTTGGCTCTGTTCTGCTGGGCACTGTACAAAAGACAGAGCCCTTGCCCAGAGATTTTACAGTTCCCAAGTTTTATTTCAACAGAACATAGTTGAAAGTTTATGCCTCAAGCACAGCTTCCCACTCCACCCTCCTCTTTAATACATAGGAGGTAGAACTTTTCCTACCAGAAATACCAACTTCTACATTAATATAGAGGATTTTTTTCAAGATTTGACGTACCTGAAATATGAGTTCTGTGCCAAACTGGCCCCACAGTTTACACTTCTTTCAGTACAATGCAAAGCAATTTAAGATGCAGCAAAACCATTTAAGCAAGCAACTAATAACTTTGGGCTTTACCCATGCTCTCAGGAATAACGGTCCTTTCAAACGCTGACTCACAGAGTGACCTCACATTGCTTAGGAGACAAGTCTTAAAATGAGGAGTCAGGCTTTAATCACAGTTGACATTTTATTGGTGGCTTGGAAGAATTTAATATAAGGGACTGGCTTGAACACATAAACTTCAAAAGACTCTGAAGAAAGCAAACAATTATGGACAAATCAGCTCTGCACGCACATATACCAGAAATCTAAATACAGAGGACAGCGGGTTGTCTCTTCCTGAAAGACAAAGCAACAGTTTTGCTGCTTAGAAGTGTCATGTTGTCAGTATTATATGAAGCTTGCAAAAACCGATTAAAAAAAATAAAAATCTAAAACCCACACAGCCTGGGGCCCATCACCTTTAGTAACGCACCTAGTAAATGAAGCACAGGCATCGCACTGTAGGCATCCCACATCATGAGGTGGCTAACTGCATATGTGTCTGCAAGGCGGGTCACCGCCCTGCTTAATGCAGAGATGCATTTTAAAGGTACTACAAGTTCCAGCATGCAGCACTGCACTGTGGCCTGGTTTCTCCTACCTGCCATGCTGGAACATGTAGTCTTCAAAAGCTATACTTTATATTAATCCCATCATTAGCACAGCGTTGCACCAGTTACGCTGCGTATTAATATTCAGCAGTTGTTTGGGATGTGTTCTCTGTGGAAAAGGGAAACTGGAGATTTCCGTGCCTCCTCATCTGCAGGAGTTTTCCTTCTTGCTGCTCTTTTGAGTTTGGCAAGCCAGCAGGGTCTCATGCAAAGGAAAGAGGTAATTTTCCTTGGAATTCCACACCCAGTGCCAAGCATTCCCACGTCCAGGCACAAAGTTGGGCACAGCCATCATAATTTCTAACTCGGTAATTTAGTCAAAGCTTTATTTTATAAAGCTTTGAAGTAGATGGCTTTTCAGAGAACCTGCCATTTAAAGCTGCAAAATGAAGGCAGCAAGGAATGAATCAACTGCTACAGAAATCACGAGAAAGTTTTCCTGGAGGGTCTGACCCAAGATGAGTTTTGAATTCCTATGAAAACGCAGTTAAACTGAGAAGCTATTCTAGTGATTTTCTAAGAACAAATAATTTCCTTTCAAAGGCAATCCTCTTTGAGACACTACATTTAATTTCCATTCAGTGTTTTCAGGTAAGTTAAAACTGAAACTATAAAATTAATCCATGAAAAGAAAAATGCTGGCTTTGTAATATTTCTTGTGTCTGTCTCCTGTTTAAAACTCAAAATTGGGAAACATCAAAATCACCACATTTATAGATACTGGGAAGGGCTCTTATACAAAGTATGTGTGGCATTTATTTACATTTTTTTTACCACTGTTTTCATTTATAGCAAGCGTTCAGACTTGCTAAATTCTCTATATTCTAACACATCCAACCTAACAAAGCACTCAAGCAGATGTTTAGTTCCAAGTATGTTTCTAACCGTACTACTCAAAACCTTGCCACATTTAGCCTCTGAAATCTAATGTATTTCAGTACAATGCAGTCACGATTTACCGTTTGATGTTCAATGTTGGAGCAAGACTCAGATCCCAGAAGTAGTTTAGTCAAGATGGATGACAGGGGTGACAGTGCTTCTTGCAGCCTTCTGCTTCACCAGGGGTACAGCTATCCTCATGGAGCTCACAATACCAGCCTTCGCAATTACATTCAGGTAAGGTGGAGCCTCTCCTTGACTCCATTTTTGTACTCTGCTGTGTACATTATTTATAGGTACAAAGCTGGTCTCTTTAAAGACTTCTCTCTCTAGAGACAGCTTGATAGTAGACTTTGGGTTAGAGGTCTTAAAAAGCAGAAAAAAAAAAAAGAAAAAAAAAAAGAAAGGATTTAACCCCCGACTGAATTGTAGGAATGGATACCAAAGACACTTATCTTTCCCATCCCTAACAATTTAAGCATTTCCACCTAATAGCACATGCTGAGTTAAGATTTTTTTCTTCTAAAAACTTAACTTCCAGATGCCATAAGCACACAACGTTAATCCTTCATTCACTCTCCAGAAAATTAAGGCAGGCCAGCACCAAAAATAACCATAGGGCATAGTTCTGTGAGGCAG